TGGCTCTTTCAGCAAGCGGACCTGACCTAGGGTGGATTTTATACTGGGTTTTTTAGGAATTTGGAAGACACAACTTTAAATTTGGTTTAATTCGGTTTTAAGGGGGGGATTGTATATATGCTTTGGTTTTAAATATGTTGTGCGCCGCCCTGAGTCCCGTTGGGAGAAGGGCGGCATATAAATTAAATTAAATAAATAATAAATAAAATAAATAACTACAACCATACAAATGAAGAGGTTTAGAAGTGACTTTTGTTTGTAAACAATAGCTAATAACTATTAGTCCTAATAGCAAAGGAACCCACAGGAAACCTCCAAAATCTCACAGATTGGTCTTTGTTGGGAACTAATATGATATCTAATAAGAACACAGATGTAAAATCTTTTGAAAGACCAAGGACAAGCAATCCAATACCCTTTGGATGTTTTGGCCTTCAACTCTACCACCTGAAGGCTGATTTTGATAGACAGCGAAGTTATAAACTGTATAAGTATAAAAACAAGATACCATATCCATACAAATTACATGAAGATTCAAATCCTAAAAACCAATTTTCATCTCTAGCAGATATTCATATTACATTCAAATATATGTCATAAATATTTCTCATTAAAAATAACATCTGGGGTTTTTTTTTTCACAAAAACTACTGTTTTGTGTAAAAGGGAGCTTTTTTTTACCCGCGTTACTGACTTCAAGAAATGAACCTACAGAATTATTTGTATATGTAAAATTACTACATCAGGCTGATAAATTGTGGTTTGTTAATTACTTGGATGCCTAATGAATAGATTAAATAAGTAAGCACCCAATTTCAGACAAACATTTCCATTTTATTTTCTGCAACACATTTACATTGTGAAATTATTAATATATAATTTGGATAAATAAAGGTTTGTTAATGAATATTAGTTAAAAGCTTTCTGAGTCTTACAGCTGTAGAGTGGGTAAAATTAAACATTACTATTTTGCTTTAACAAAATCTTATTATCAGTATTAATATGCATTTATAATTTGATTTCTCCAAATTTATCTCCAACCACCCTTTTGGGGGAGGGTATAGTTGATGGAGTGGTCATTTAAGATCTAGAAAAATGATTTTATTACTTGTTCCTTTATAAATCAAACTTCTAAAGTTCATAAAATGAGCTAAACTAAAAAAAATGATTTAATAGGAATTTTTTTATGATCCATCACATTATTATAGCTACTTTATTCCCAGTATGTTATTGCTTTAATTGTGTTGCTACAATTCTTGGGAATCTCTGTTTTTATTGGATCAAACATAATCTTAAATCAAAATGACAGAGAATGCCTTCAATATGTCTTTTCATTTCTTAGTTCTTTTCTTCAGGGACAGAACAGGCCAGGAGGGAAATATACCCTTCATTTTGCTTAGTCTTCTGACACTTCATGGCATTCCATATGTTCCTGCCAACACTTCATTATGAGATTTATAACTTTCATCATTTTCGGCTCACAGTATAGTATGAATATGTTTTAGTACTGCATTTCCTTGCAATGTTCCGTCTGCTTACATGTCTTTTTTCCCCTCTACCAGGTCTCTGATCGCTCTGTAGTTGCCCTTGTTCCTAAACAGACTTCTTCTTATAATATTCCTGCTTCTGCCAGCATATCACGGACCTCAATTAGCAGATATGGTAAGACTGAAAGTTGCATGATGTAAACATAAAGATTCTAATTACATGACTCTCAAATTAATGGCCTAATCTGATTGTTGCACCCAGTGTCAAGTGGCTAGCAGTTTTATTACAGTTTTTATTGGAAGCTTGTAAAGCATATCTTTATAAATATACAGGGAACCATTTTTTAACCACTGAGCTCAGTCTGAAACATTATGATAATGTCAGTGCATACACGTAACTCTTCACAAATGCTTCTACCTCTTATCTGGATTATAAACTTGGCTGTAATGGGAATAACCCACTGAAACCACCTGTGCATGTATCAGAATCACTGATCTGAAGCAATTTCTCCTGAAATTGTCATTATCAGACAAGCAACATATTAAGTACATAGAGATATTATCTCTCCTCGTTCAAAAATAAGTGGGGAGGACTATTTCACAGTTCAAGTAGTCAGGAAGTTCCTCCTGACGTCTAGCCTGAATCTTCTTATAGTTTCAACCATTTGGTTCTGATCCTGCCCTCTGTTATTTTTCCTTCTATGTGACAACCCTTAAGATATTTAAAGGTTGCTGTTGCATTTCCTCTCAGTTATATCTTCTATAGGCTAAATATTTTCCTTTAGCAAGTCCTCATAGGAAGTGGTTTCCAGAACTCTCCAAATCTTGCTATTCTCTTCTGAAATTGTTACAATTTCCAAATGTGATAGGACCAGGGAAGGTCTGAGTGGAATAATTACAGATAGTCCTCAACTAAAAAAAAATCATTTAGTGACCATTCAAAGTTATAGTGGCATTGAAAAAAGTGACTTATGACAATTTTTCATACTTACAACTGTTGCAGCAGCTCCATGACACGTGATCAAAATTCAGATGCTTGGCAACTGTTTCATATTTATGACAGTTGCAGTATCCTGGGTCATGTGACCATCTTTTCTGACCTTCTGACAAGCAAAGTCAATGGGGAATCCAAATTCTCTCAACAACCTTGTTACTAACTTAACAACTGCAGTGATTCACCTAACAACTTTGACAAGAAAAGTTGTAAAATGGGGCAAAACTCATTTAACAAATGTCTTCCTTAACAACAGAAAAGTTGGGCTCAATTGTGGTCATAAGTCAAGGACTACTTGTAATTCCAATATTTGTATAGCCTATTGATTCCTTTTAAAACAATATTTGGCTTTTTAGTACTTAATTCAGACTAATGGCTCATATTTGACATGTTCAACAAGGACATCAGTTGCTCTTCACATGTACAGAAACCATGCCAGTCTTCTGCCTTTGCACTTGTGCCCTGCTTTTTTCCCTCCCAATGTAGAACTTTACATTTCTTCCTGTTAAATTCCATTTTATTCATTTCAATCCACAGTTCTAGTCAATTTAGATCATTTTGAATCTTTTTTTCTTTTCTTACAGGGAAATATTATTATTATTATTATTATTATTATTATTATTATTATTATTATTATTATTATTATTATTATTATTATTATTATTATTATTATTATTATTATTATTATTATGAAATTTGAGAATTTATATTTGGTCATTTTGTCCATTTATATTTTTATATTTTTAGTAAAAACATTTTTGTGTTTTGTTCTGGGTTTGTTTGTTTTTTTTGGCTGGAATAATTATGGCACCATATGGCTGGCAATTTTTGCAATTGGAAAAGTGTCCTCCATTCTTGTTCCTCTTATTTGTAAAACATTTCTTCAAAGACATCAAAGACAAAATTTTCTAAATTGGATGTCTATAATGTAAAAATAGCAAACAAAGATTTTTCTTTTGAGGATACACATTAGTTATAAAGCAAGATTTCTATCTGACTGTTCAGAGTCAAAAGTTAAAGAGCATTAGCATGCAACATGTGCCTACGTAGTTGTTGTGAATCCTGATATTGATACTTCTGATTGCACAAATGAAATCAAGCAAAGGTGTGTTTTTACTGTCTACATTTGCATCACTGAATTTCATTTTTAAATAGAATGATTCAGTGCTTTCACCTTTTCATTACATTAACAGGAATAGTCATATTTTTAATCATTTTGAATCAGGAGTGAAACTTTGGAGAAAAATATGTAACAATTCACTCATTCTCCTATTAATGTAAAAGGATCCCTTTAGTTTGACTGTCACCAAATAGAAGAATAGAAAGTTAAGAAATTAGATTAATTTTTTCACAGTGAAAGAAACATTTGCTTGAAAATGAAAAAAATATCAAACAGTTGTAATGTGTATTTGATAGTTAGCTAAGGTTTTTTTTTCATGTGGCAAGGCATTTCATGACAATATGTTGTATACAGTATGTTTTAAATGTGTGTTATGTATGTGTACACTTTTAGAGGAAGCAACTAAATTTCATTTTAATGTGTGCAATGACAATAAAGGTTATCTAATCTAATCTAATCTAATCTAAAATGCCCTGTAAGTAAATGCAACTACTACATATTTTAAGTATGGTAGCCAAGATTATAATAGTTCAGAAAATTTTGGTTTTAGTTTTCTGTGGAAGGTGAACTTTGTTCTATTGATCAAGATTGGCTGAAGTCAATGAATTAAATACATAACAAAACAGTGAAAAATATTTCAACCAAAAATGTTCTAAATATAGGATTAGCTTTCAGAAACATTGGAATTTTATAGTAATTTCTTCCCTTATAAACTGAAGTTGTATTCTCTGTTAAAGAGTTACCACAAGCCCCAAAATATAACCAAGTCTGTCTTCCGTTGTGCCTTCCCAACCTCTTTTTCATTCTCCCCAGATTCCACATTTCGGTACACAGGTAGCCCAGATAGTCTTCGTTCAAGGGCACCCATGATTACTCCTGACCTAGAGAGTGGAGTGAAAGTCTGGCATTTAGTCAAAAACCATGACCATGGTGACCAGAAGGANCTCAGATGGCTTTACAGTAGGATTGGATAAATTTGTACATTCCAGCTTCCTAAGACTGACTAATCTTGGAAAAGCAAAGTTATCTCTAGACCAGGGACATCATGCCTCCAAATTTCATTTGCAAGCAAACAATGGCAGAAAATAAATATGTCTCCATCTCCCATTTGAGAGTACCCCAGAAGAATGTGACTGGCTGCTACGTAAAACAAAATGCTGGACTAAGACATGCTAACTTCTCTTTAGTACTAGTTGCCTAAAGCATGTATTGCAGAGTTGCTAGTATTTTCCTGTGCTCCTGGTTTGCCCTTTGCATTAATCAGACTGTTGCCCCAGCTGACAGTAATAGCTGTTTCTATTTCATGAGAATGAAAAAATAATAATTTGCTACTAAATGTGCACAATCTATTCTTAATATATCACTTATCAGCTCTACTCAAAGTTGTTTAAGCTGCAGAGAGCACCTAGTTTTTCTTGAATAGAAATTTTATCAAAGTGACACTTTAACACATACTAGTTGCAAGTTATTAGTGATTTTTAAAAAAAGACTTATTTTTTATCACTAAATAGTGATACATCACTAAATAGTGATTTAATCCTGAGCCAAGATTATCTGTTTTACTGTAATTAATAGTGATTCTAGAACTTATTTGGAGTCAAGGGATTTTTTTTTCTTAGAAGAGACCAAGGTACAGTTTAAGACAATAATTGTGACTAAAAATGTGTTGTATTCATTTTTGTTCCATTGCTAGCTGTATTTTATTCTAAAAATATTATGATATCTAATAATGTCCAAAACAGATTCACAAATTTTGTGGGGCTTTTGAATCTTTACTTTAGTAGTGGGAGTTTATGAACCAATAGAAATATATTATAAACCAGAAAAGTACATGCAACCCCACCAAGCTGCACATAATATACAGCTAGCAGATTTCTTATTTTGCCCTATGACAGCCCAAGAGATAAACCAGATCAAGTAACTGACTCCACAAGATTAGAACTATATTTTATTTAGATAGTCTATAATAACAGTATAAGTGGCATTACAATAATCTTACAAATCTTCCTCAGAAGGACCCTGCCTGAGTGTTTTATTTCTTTAACTAATTAAAATAAAAATGTGCATATATTTCAACATACAATTTCTCTAATTATTTTTATATCATTTAATAGCATATCCATTCTCACATATAACTTCAGTGTATGTAAATTAGAATAGCTCATTCCAACATGCAAATCTATTTGAAATTTCTCCCAAATCTAATTCTAGAAGGAAAGCTTGAAAAATGCCAATGTTGATGTCAAACAATAAGTAATTAAATTCTAGAAATTTAAAACACAAAATATTTATCCAATTCTGTTTCAAATGATAAAGTAATATGTTTTTGGAATTCATTTCTTTTGGATTATTCCAAAAGAATAATTAACCATAACTACAACCATACAAATGAAGAGGTTTAGAAGTGACTTTTGTTTGTAAACAATAGCTAATAACTATTAGTCCTAATAGCAAAGGAACCCACAGGAAACCTCCAAAATCTCACAGATTGGTCTTTGTTGGGAACTAATATGATATCTAATAAGAACACAGATGTAAAATCTTTTGAAAGACCAAGGACAAGCAATCCAATACCCTTTGGATGTTTTGGCCTTCAACTCTACCACCTGAAGGCTGATTTTGATAGACAGCGAAGTTATAAACTGTATAAGTATAAAAACAAGATACCATATCCATACAAATTACATGAAGATTCAAATGCTAAAAACCAATTTTCATCTCTAGCAGATATTCATATTACATTCAAATATATGTCATAAATATTTCTCATTAAAAATAACATCTGGGGTTTTTTTTTCCACAAAAACTACTGTTTTGTGTAAAAGGGAGCTTTTTTTTACCCGCGTTACTGACTTCAAGAAATGAACCTACAGAATTATTTGTATGTGTAAAATTACTACATCAGGCTGATAAATTGTGGTTTGTTAATTACTTGGATGCCTAATGAATAGATTAAATAAGTAAGCACCCAATTTCAGACAAACATTTCCATTTTATTTTCTGCAACACATTTACATTGTGAAATTATTAATATATAACTTGGATAAATAAAGGTTTGTTAATGAATATTAGTTAAAAGCTTTCTGAGTCTTACAGCTGTAGAGTGGGTAAAATTAAACATTAATATTTTGCTTTAACAAAATCTTATATCAGTATTAATATGCATTTATAATTTGATTTCTCCAAATTTATCTCCAACCACCCTTTTGGGGGAGGGTATAGTTGATGGAGTGGTCATTTAAGATCCAGAAAAATGATTTTATTACTTGTTCCTTTATAAATAAAACTTCTAAAGTTCATAAAATGAGCTAAACTAAAAAAAATGATTTAATAGGATTTTTTTTATGATCCATCACATTATTATAGCTACTTTATTCCCAGTATGTTATTGCTTTAATTGTGTTGCTACAATTCTTGGGAATCTTTGTTTTTATTGGATCAAACATAATCTTAAATCAAAATGACAGAGAATGCCTTCAATATGTCTTTTCATTTCTTAGTTCTTTTCTTCAGGGACAGAACAGGCCAGGAGGGAAATATACCCTTCATTTTGCTTAGTCTTCTGACACTTCATGGCATTCCATATGTTCCTGCCAACACTTCATTATGAGATTTATAACTTTCATCATTTTCGGCTCACAGTATAGTATGAATATGTTTTAGTACTGCATTTCCTTGCAATGTTCCGTCTGCTTACATGTCTTTTTCCCCCTCTACCAGGTCTCTGATCGCTCTGTAGTTGCCCTTGTTCCTAAACAGACTTCTTCTTATAATATTCCTGCTTCTGCCAGCATATCACGGACCTCAATTAGCAGATATGGTAAGACTGAAAGTTGCATGATGTAAACATAAAGATTCTAATTACATGACTCTCAAATTAATGGCCTAATCTGATTGTTGCACCCAGTGTCAAGTGGCTAGCAGTTTTATTACAGTTTTTGTTGGAAGCTTGTAAAGCATATCTTTATAAATATACAGGGAACCATTTTTTTAACCACTGAGCTCAGTCTGAAACATTATGATAATGTCAGTGCATACACGTAACTCTTCACAAATGCTTCTACCTCTTATCTGGATTATAAACTTGGCTGTAATGGGAATAACCCACTGAAACCACCTGTGAATGTATCAGAATCACTGATCTGAAGCAATTTCTCCTGAAATTGTCATTATCAGACAAGCAACATATTAAGTACATAGAGATATTATCTCTCCTCGTTCAAAAATAAGTGGGGAGGACTATTTCACAGTTCAAGTAGTCAGGAAGTTCCTCCTGACGTCTAGCCTGAATCTTCTTATAGTTTCAACCATTTGGTTCTGATCCTGCCCTCTGTTATTTTTCCTTCTATGTGACAACCCTTAAGATATTTAAAGGTTGCTGTTGCATTTCCTCTCAGTTATATCTTCTATAGGCTAAATATTTTCCTTTAGCAAGTCCTCATAGGAAGTGGTTTCCAGAACTCTCCAAATCTTGCTATTCTCCTCTGAAATTGTTACAATTTCCAAATGTGATAGGACCAGGGAAGGTCTGAGTGGAATAATTACAGATAGTCCTCAACTTAAAAAAAATCATTTAGTGACCATTCAAAGTTATAGTGGCATTGAAAAAAGTGACTTATGACAATTTTTCATACTTACAACTGTTGCAGCAGCTCCATGACACATGATCAAAATTCAGATGCTTGGCAACTGTTTCATATTTATGACAGTTGCAGTATCCTGGGTCATGTGACCATCTTTTCTGACCTTCTGACAAGCAAAGTCAATGGGGAATCCAAATTCTCTCAACAACCTTGTTACTAACTTAACAACTGCAGTGATTCATCTAACAACTTTGACAAGAAAAGTTGTAAAATGGGGCAAAACTCATTTAACAAATGTCTTCCTTAACAACAGAAAAGTTGGGCTCAATTGTGGTCATAAGTCAAGGACTACTTGTAATTCCAATATTTGTATAGCCTATTGATTTCTTTTAAAACAATATTTGGCTTTTTAGTACTTAATTCAGACTAATGGCTCATATTTGACATGTTCAGCAAGGACATCAGTTGCTCTTCACATGTACAGAAACCATGCCAGTCTTCTGCCTTTGCACTTGTGCCCTGCTTTTTTCCCTCCCAATGTAGAATTTTACATTTCTTCCTGTTAAATTCCATTTTATTCATTTCAATCCACAGTTCTAGTCAATTTAGATCATTTTGAATCTTTTTTCTTTTCTTACAGGGAAATATTATTATTATTATTATTATTATTATTATTATTATTATTATTATTATTATTATTATCATTATTATTATTATGAAATTTGAGAATTTATATTTGGTCATTTTGTCCATTTATATTTTTATATTTTTAGTAAAAGCATTTTTGTGTTTTGTTCTGGGTTTGTTTGTTTTTTTTGGCTGGAATAATTATGGCACCATATGGCTGGCAATTTTTGCAATTGGAAAAGTGTCCTCCATTCTTGTTCCTCTTATTTGTAAAACATTTCTTCAAAGACATCAAAGACAAAATTTTCTAAATTGGATGTCTATAATGTAAAAATAGCAAACAAAGATTTTTCTTTTGAGGATACACATTAGTTATAAAGCAAGATTTCTATCTGACTGTTCAGAGTCAAAAGTTAAAGAGCATTAGCATGCAACATGTGCCTACCTAGTTGTTGTGAATCCTGATATTGATACTTCTGATTGCACAAATGAAATCAAGCAAAGGTGTGCTTTTACTGTCTACATTTGCATCACTGAATTTCATTTTTAAATAGAATGATTCAGTGCTTTCACCTTTTCATTACATTGACAGGAATAGTCATATTTTTAATCATTTTGAATCAGGAGTGAAACTTTGGAGAAAAATATGTAACAATTCACTCATTCTCCTATTAATGTAAAAGGATCCCTTTAGTTTGACTGTCACCAAATAGAAGAATAGAAAATTAAGAAATTAGATTAATTTTTTCACAGTGAAAGAAACATTTGCTTGAAAATGAAAAAAATATCAAACAGTTGTAATGTGTATTTAATAGTTAGCTAAGGTTTTTTTTCATGTGGCAAGGCATTTCATGACAATATGTTGTATACAGTATGTTTTAAATGTGTGTTATGTATGTGTACACTTTTAGAGGAAGCAACTAAATTTCATTTTAATGTGTGCCATGACAATAAAGGTTATCTAATCTAATCTAATCTAATCTAAAATGCCCTGTAAGTAAATGCAACTACTACATATTTTAAGTATGGTAGCCAAGATTATAATAGTTCAGAAAATTTTGGTTTTAGTTTTCTGTGGAAGGTGAACTTTGTTCTATTGATCAAGATTGGCTGAAGTCAATGAATTAAATACATAACAAAACAGTGAAAAATATTTCAACCAAAAATGTTCTAAATATAGGATTAGCTTTCAGAAACATTGGAATTTTATAGTAATTTCTTCCCTTATGAACTGAAGTTGTATTCTCTTTTAAAGAGTTACGACAAGCCCCAAAATATAACCAAGTCTGTCTTCCGTTGTGCCTTCCCAACCTCTTTTTCATTCTCCCCAGATTCCACATTTCGGTACACAGGTAGCCCAGATAGTCTTCGTTCAAGGGCACCCATGATTACTCCTGACCTAGAGAGTGGAGTGAAAGTCTGGCATTTAGTCAAAAACCATGACCATGGTGACCAGAAGGANACAAGCCCCAAAATATAACCAAGTCTGTCTTCCGTTGTGCCTTCCCAACCTCTTTTTCATTCTCCCCAGATTCCACATTTCGGTACACAGGTAGCCCAGATAGTCTTCGTTCAAGGGCACCCATGATTACTCCTGACCTAGAGAGTGGAGTGAAAGTCTGGCATTTAGTCAAAAACCATGACCATGGTGACCAGAAGGAAGGTGATCGGGGAAGTAAGATGGTATCAGAGATCTACTTGACACGGCTGCTAGCTACAAAGGTAATTCCAAGTCTTACATCCTGTATTTCCTTTTTATCAACTGAAAGTGGTAAACATTAGCCTCATATTGTTGTGCTGATTTTGTCTTATTGCATATTAATAATAAAAACAATGTAACCACTGGTTATTTCTGAATACTTACTGAGTAGGCTTTTTTATGTGTTTGTTTCTCTAATGAAACGCACCATATTTGTATTATTTGTCTATATGTTTATTTGAAAAATTAATAAAATTTGTAAAATCGTAAAAAACAATGTTTAAGTAAAACAATTATAATAATATAATATACAAATAAGAATGTAATAATTGTTATTATAATTATAAAACAAACCCACCCCACAAATGAATGTGTAGTAGAATCTAAATAACACAGGCAAACGTTTTTGTTGCTTTCCCTAAACTGTCTTCATTCCTATCTCATCTTACATAGGTAATAGTTCCGTTCCCCCCCCCCCCCATCACATACTGTAACATGTTAACTTTGCTACATCTCATATTCAGGGATATTAATTAAGGGGGACAGCTTTGCAAACTGCAGTGCTGTTCTGCACCAGCTGATGATTTATGGTATAATACCCTCATACTTTGGTCTCTGCTTCCATCAGGGTACACTTCAAAAGTTTGTGGATGACCTGTTCGAGACTTTGTTCAGTACTGTGCATCGAGGCAGCGCTCTCCCACTGGCTATCAAATATATGTTTGATTTCCTAGATGAGCAAGCAGATAAGCATGGCATCCATGACACTGATGTGAGGCATACCTGGAAGAGCAACTGGTAAGAGGGACACAGTTTTATTACTTATGGTTTATGTACTTTTATATCAAAATGGTCCTTGAGCAACACCATATCTACACAAGTAAGGGTAAATGTATGAAATCTAAAAGACATACAATAATATTATATATATATATATATATATATATATATATATATATATATATATATATATATATATATATATATATATA